GCCCATAATGATAGCATATAGCTCGACTGTATACACATTCAGATCATTCGTGGTTCGTTTGCTTTCCTCACCTCCTTGATTAACTATAACAATGCTGATCCAGTCCTTCCTGTTAGTATTCAGCTACAAGGTCTATACTATTGTTTATCGTTTTGATTTGATGTAATTCAATATCAACTTCCATGGTTTCAATCTTCCATTCTGGAAAGTCAGGCCATACAATAGTTGGGCAGAACTCTTTTTCACTCACCCCCAAATCTCTAGCTGACTCATCTCCTATCCATCTAAAACTAAACTTTGGTGCTCTTTCCTTTTCCCAGCTGGCTTGCAGTACCCTCTTAGTAGGATGTCCATCTCTATGTCCCTTTAGATTAATCCAATAATTTACCAGCAATTGTTTACGTCGAATGTCCAGTGGCATTTCTCCCGCTTCCACTTGTAGTGCACATACTGGTGACGTTTTTACTGCTTCTAAGCATAGTCTCAATGCTTTAGCCTGTATTATATCTAGCCTCGCAAGCACAGATTTGACTGCTGATCCATATACCACACTCCCATAATCTATTCTTGACCTTATAAACCTTGGATTAAAATGTACTCCTAGAAAGCAAAATTTATTAACTCTCTCCAAATGACTTCCGTATAGTTTTAAATTAAAGCCTTAATTGATTTTCCTCCTTGTAAAAAACATTACTTTAGTGTTTTCAACAGAAAATTTAAAACCCCATTTTATTCCCCACTTCTCAACCTGCTGAATACCATCTTGCACTTTCTTAACTATATGTTCTACATGTCTTCCTCTTTTCCATATTGCTCCATCATCCGCAAATAATGATCTTCCCATGCCTGCTGGTACATTTACATATATGTCATTTATCATTACTGAGAATAATGTGGGACTTATTACACTCCCCTGGGGCGTTCCATTCTCGGCTACATGCTTGCTTGACAAGTCTGCTCCTATTTTAACCTGAATTGTTCTACCTTTCAAGAAATCCTTAACCCAATTAAAAATTCTTCCTCTGATTCCCATTCTATGCAACTTAATCATCACCCCCTCTCCCCATAGCATGTCATATGCTTTTTCAACATCAAAAAATACTTCTACTACCATCTCTTTATTTATTAAAGCTTTTCTTATTTCATCTTCCAAACATAACACTGCATCCATAGTACCCCTTCCTCTCCTAAATCCACTTTGGCATTCATTCACCATACCTTGTTTTTCCATAATATATATTAATCTCCCATTTACCATTCTTTCCATTTAGCTTACAGATATGAGAAGTCAGGGCAATGGGTCTATAATTCGTTGACTTACTAGAATCTTTCCCCGGTTTTCTTATTGGAACAATAACTGCTTCCGTCCAGCTCTTTGCACCCGGTAGGTTTATTGGGTGAGGGGTATGTGACTATTTGTTAATCTAATGAATAACTGATTTGTTAAATCTAATGAAAAATGGTCATAATAGGACCCCTTTAATATTAACTTCTTGTTTATTTAATTTTGTAGCCCTGACTCTTAGTAAAGCCTGCCACAGACCAGGCTAAATGCTAACTAATCTGTTATATTAATCATATAATCGCTCTAAATGCGTGTGTGTCCAAGAAAGTCTGTGCATATAATAGGCCTACTTAAAAATCTATATTTGATGCTATACAGTAATAATCTAATTTTGACATATAGTGAGATCGGTATTATGAATTTATAGGCTACAGTAAGTTAAAGATACCTGAAGCAGCTGCATTTTGCTGTTTAAGTGCTGGTTTAATATAAATAATTTGAATGCGCATGAAAACTCAATCTTGATGTGCATAAGACACTGTAATAAAAACATTTGGGGGCTTCAGCCCCCTTAGCCCACCCCTAGGGATTGAATAACTTAATAAAATGTGTACTTTAAGCCAGAAATATAATTTTACTATGGTAAAATAAATGTTCAGCGATCTTTCTCTGAGCTTGTATAAATTCAATTCAATTCAATTCAATTCACGTTTATTTGTACAGCGCTTTTCACGATACAAATCATTGCAAAGCAACTTTACAGCAAATTAAGTTTCTACGATATATATAGCCTATCATCTTGCGCCCTATTGTGATCTCAATATTTCAGTAGGCTGCATGCATTTGAGAGACGTTCTTAAATGTAATGCACATACATGCCTGCACATTTTTGCAGTTTTAATCGGCATTTTGGTAATTTCGTGACTTAACTGACGGTGTATGCTCGCAGTTTCTAGTACGGTTTATTTATGAAGTGAGCGCCTCATTTTCGCGTACAGTTGAAGAGTGTGCGCCATGAGCAGAAGTAAAACGGCTGACAGGACAGGATATGACTGACATATAACAATATCTCATCAGACCGCAGTTCCCTGTTGTTCAACTGAAGCTCATTTGGCTCCTGTACCTTTGCTAAGGGCAAGCTGAAGTGCGCGTTTTTTAAAGGGGTGGTTGATTGCGATTTCACTTTTTTAATGTTAGTTAGTGTGTAATGTTGCTGTTTGAGCATAAAAAATATCT